TTCCCTAATTGTTTGAGGATTTTAAATAATGTATTGGCTTTTCTCAGAGCAAGGAATGGAATAGAGTGTATTTGAGATTTCTGTAGCAAAAAATGATCAGGAATTAAAATATGTAATCCGATGCATCACTTCTTATACAGAACTCTGAAGGAAATGTTCTTTCTGTTTCAAAATATGTCAGTTTCTTGAAATGAATTAGATTACACTCCTGCTTTGTTTCACCTTTCATTAGGTTAGACATTGAATCTTGTGCCAAATATGGCCCTAAAATCAGGTAGTTTTGTGTAATTGACAGTCACTGATAAGGAGAAGCTCAGAGCTACCTGTTAGGGATATTTCCATTGAGAATTAAGATATGGTAGCATAAACAATTTGTTTGATAAACTTTGAAAGCAAAGCTTGTTTTGTTACTTATGTGAACATTTCACAAGGTGGCAAAATCAGTTCTCTTTTTAAACAATGAATTTGAAAGCAAAAAAAAAAAAAAGTGAAACAGAAAATGATGTCAATAGTATTTCATTACTTTGTTTTGGCCTGAGGCTTGCATCCATGAAATGTTACTGCAATCTTGATTTAAAGTACAAATAGAAAAGAAAAATGTGCAGGAAAATAAGGCTAGGTGATGTACTCTAATATAAAAAGGACTCTTGTGGGAGTAGTTGAGTAGAAGAAGCAAATTTGTAAGGGATACTTGCTTAGCTGCTGTTTAAATGAATAAGTTTAATAACATAATGTGCAAAATATAAGTAGTAAAATGATATAGTTCCTTGCTGAGCAAGATGTTATGTTACTTTAAAAATAATCAAGATTTAAAAAAAAAAAATCTCCTTTCTGATATTGTTATAGTGGATTACATTGAATTGGAATGGAAAGAATTTTGAATAAATGGTACTTGTTTTTCAGTGTCTTGTTAGCCTTTTGCATTTCCCCCAGCAGGAAAAATAAAAATCAATGAAGTCAATTTCATGTTAATTTATAACCATTTTTCACTTTGAGGACTTACAGTACTGCAGTGTTTTGTGTGTGTGCTGCACAAGAATTAGATAATGCCAACGATGAGATTTGTGGCTTTTAAAAATGAATGAAAAAAAGTATTAGGATTTTTTAAAATAAAAGTTTGGCTTTGAAAAGCCTAGATTGGCGGGGTGAGGGGAGGAACGGGACGGGACGTGGAATTTAAATAGGAATGTGGTGGAAACCGTTTTATTGACCTAATGAAAGATATGCTATGGTTGTACCCACTGAAGCAAATTTCTGGAGATTTTTTTTATTCTTTTCTTCTTATTGTAATAGGCAGAAACCACAAATGCCAGTCTCTTACAAGTTCAGCTTGAATGCAGATTGCCTACCAGTGTGTACCAACAGCTAAAGGTATGTTTCAACCTTTTGTTTTAGTCCTATTTTAAAGGGACTGTGTCCAGAGTTTTTATGCAAAAAAATTCATCTACTTTGGCACAAATGCCATCTGAAATCCTTGCTTAAAAGTAAAAGAACCAGTATGATACAAAATGTGATTAATGCATTTAAATAAGATGAAGATAAAATAGGATAACACAGGTTTTGAACATCTTGAATATAATGAACAAATTGTCAAAATATTTTGAATTAATTAAATTTTCCCTGCAGTTTTTTCCCCACCAGTTTTTTGACCACCTCTAGTAACTAAAGAATAGTTGTAAGAAGTTGCTATCTAGAAAGCTTATGCTGTCTTCAGTGGGTTTTGGATCAGGCCTTTCATGCTATACTATGACTAAAGAGGAAAGTTATTTGTTCAAGAAACCCCAAAAGTTCCAACGTTTGGGTCTTGGTCTTATACTGGGAGATATCGCTAAAGTCGCACCTTCCACTGAGATGCCTTTTAACTCCTTATTGCAGTCATTTTCAACCATGGTGCCAGAGAGATTTCAAATAGCAGTCCATAGCATTAAAAACATTCTGAGCTATTTTCATTTTTTTGGTTCTTTGCAACAGAAAAACTGTGATGTTATTTTTCTGTAGTAAAAATATAGTGGAAACCAAAAGCTGACATTTTCTGAAGGGTGCCTTGAGTCTAAAAAGCTTGAGAACCACTGCCTTAAGATTAGGGAAAATCTCAAGGATTTTTAAAATCTGTTACTGAATTCTGTTTTGTATCTAAGCTGATGCAGGAAGTAAATTCAGTGACATCCTTTCGAGGATTTGGCTCCCTTACAGACTGCGCTTATTTTTTGTTAGTGCACACATTGCAATAGTTATTGACTCCTTTCTCGCCTCTCTGCCTTAACTGTCATAACGTATTCTAATTGGGCTACCCTCAAAGTGCACCTGGAAGTTATATAGGGTGTCCAATGTAGCTACTAGCTGCTTGAGTTGTGTGGGCTGCTAAGAGCACGTAAACCCCATGTTTGAGTGTCTGCACTCACTTCCTGTTTGCTATAGCTTGCAATTTCCAATGATGATCTCTGAAGTGATAAACGAGTAGCCTGGAATCCAGTTCTCTGAGCGCTGCCTTTTTCACCTTATACCTTACTGTGACAGTTAAGATAACCTGGGGGTCTCTTACTGTCACTTTTTGAGTCTGAACACACTTTGTTTTACGGCTGAGAGACCGTCCATCTTTGGAATTCACTCCCCTAGGCACCTTGTCGGTGCCCAGGAGTCACCTTCATAGTGTGATGCAAGATGCATTTGGTTTAGCACTAGTTGTCTTTCATAGATTCATAAATTGCGAGGCTGGAAGGGACCTCGGGGGATCATTGGGTCCAGCCCCCTGCACAAGGCAGGAAACACAACTGGGAGTCAGGTGACCCCAGCAAGGTGACCATCCAGTCTCCTTTTATTCATTGCTGGGTTCTGTTTCTGAAAATAACGTCTTGTCTGTCTTTGTAGTTGCAATGCCTGGCTGTGCTAGCAGTGGCCACTAGATAAATTAGCAAATAAAGTTTGAGCCAGGGCTGTCCCTAGGGTATGGCGAATTGGGGTGACCGTCCCAGTTTCTGTGCTTTGGGAGGCCCTGTGGAGCCGGACGGAGCAGCCATGGCCCCTCCTGCAGGTTCCGCCTGGAGCTGGTGGCTCAGTCCTGTGCCACAGAAGAAGCACAGAGATTTCCCGCCCCACTTTGGGGGGGTTACCATGGCCCTGTTCAGTATTAAAGGGGCCCCGCACAGGCTGATCTGCCCCGGCCCCTGCACCCACTCAGGATCATCTGGTTTGAGCGATATTTGTGTGAAATGTGTAAATAATGCATATCCAAACAGTAGTGCTTTCCATTAAGAGCTGTACACTTTTCATTTTATTCAAATAACCCCAGTTAGTGGTAAATAGAGAAGAGAAGCACAGACCTTGAAAACATTAACTCTAAAACTAACTCTAAACAGACTTAGCATTAACACTCTCACACTTTATTTAAACTGGAGGATTTTCATTTATGAAAATAGTTTTATGGTCCCTGTGGTGAGACCTTCCAGTTGAGGCTGCTGTTTAATTTGCATTTGGCACAGTCTTTATAACCCTAAAATTCTCTAAGTATCATTTTAATATTTCTTTACTTTGTGAACTGAGAACTTGCACTGGAGTCTAAAGTCTTCTGTTTGTACAATGGCAGTAACACAGAGAGCTTTCCCATTTTGCCTCCCACAATGTGCCCATTTCAGAGCCATTTACTGCCTCAAATTGATGAGTTCACAGGGCACTGTGAATTTCAACAAAGGTTTTAATTACTGCCATTTGAGTGGCACCTTTGTGATGGGGACGCTTGTCCACTAGGCAGTGGTTGAGGCCACCAGTTAAATGCATTTCTTTTCTAATCAAATTGTTTTATGAAACTTCCCCTTCTTTCCCCTTCCTCTGTCTCACTCCTTTGTCTCATTCCAGAGTTGCTGTTTTGTGTCTGATGATCCAATGCTGCTAGAAATGAGCTTAAGAGTAAGAATAGAAAATGCCCAGCAAAGACTTGTGGACCACAGACAGTACTTGCTGGAGAATGTTTTTGTAGTTTATGTAGCAATGGGCAAAACTGAAACCTCAGGTAAGTTAACACAACTGTTAATTTAAATGGAAATTTATTTTATACATACACCTAAATCATTCATGGTCACTTCATTGAGGCCCCTTAATTTTGCTATTTAATGAATAGGCCGTTTAGTACAGTGAAAATACTTGACATTTTATTTAGTACAGAATTATTTTGGTGGTATTTCTTAGCAGCTGAGGCATTTCATCCTTTCTGGTTGCCTTAAGATTAGGGTAGGAATCAAATGCAATAAAATACCTTTTTATTCGCGTTAGTATAATTGGGGTATGAAACAGGAACCAACACCCTTTTTATGGCTCTGTTAAATATAAATGTTTATATGAAATGGGATTATGTTTCCTTTATATAGCAAAAGTGCAATTAATAAAAATTTAAGCTTTCCTAGTTTCCAGTTAATTAGATCAATCAAATTATATCTGCAGAGAGGGAATGGGTTACAAAACCCTGGGCAGACCTGTACTAAAATGACTCTCTGTAGCTTCCTTTCTGAAGCTAAAATATCACAGACAAAAGCACCATGTCTTTGCATTGGTTTGGCAAACAGATATTCTCTCTAATTCCATGGGATAAGAGCTCCTTTATTTTTAATGATTTGTAGAGCATCATAGATATATGTTTAGCTTTCTTAGCATATTAGAACAAAAGCAGGTTTTTCTGCCATTTGGTTTCTCTTCTTTAATTAGCAAGTGCAGCGTATGAAAACATATGCAATTATTAAATTATCATTTTTAAACCACATGAAATTCATGCTAATAAAAAGACAAGGTTCCTTGGGTGAATTTGATATCTTTTATTAGACCAACCCAAATAGTTGGAGAAAAGTTATTAAGCAAGCTTTCGGGTTCAAAAACCCTTCGTCAGGCTAAGGAAGTTTCAGCAGTTGCTGTGTGCTCTTCCTGGATGGAATGACAAGCAAACAAGCCAGGGGCTGGGCTGGGGAGTCAGTTGCCAGGCAGATTATAATGTATCAAAAATCCAATGTCTATGTTTAGTCCCTGATCTCTAGTATCCAGCAGGTTGATGAAATGGAGTTCATAGGCTCATCTCTGGGAAGTGTTGTGTAAGTTTCCCTTGAGGATCAGGACTGAGAGATTGGAGAGAGAGTGGCCCTCCTGTGAGAAATGTGCCCCCCACCGGTAATTGGGTATTTCTGTCTTTGATGGATTTCCGGTGTGCGTTCATTCTGGTGTGCAGTTATTGTTTGGTCTCTCCTACACATCTTCCATCAGGGCATTTGGTGCATTGGATGAGGTATATTACATTTCTGGAGGTGCAGCTGTAAGATCCTGGGATGCTGATGTCTCTGTTGTGGGGTGTAGTAATAGTGGGGGTGGTGGAGATGTGTTGGCAGGTTTTGCAACTTCCTCAAGCCCAGAACACACCAAAAGGATCCAGACTGTGCCATGACAAGAAATGCAAAACCTGCCAACACATCTCCACCACCCTGTTGATGTGCTCAAGCCCTGAAGAGAAGGGAAATTATGAACATAATTAATAATTTGTATGAATTGTTGTGAAAGTATATTTATTCTTACACTAGTGGATAAATGTTCACATCTGTCATGTCATAGGGCCTGGCGGTAACCTCCATTTGACGACTCAAGAAATAGAAGCCCATTTTAATGTCACACACATTCACGAAATTTAATGCAAATCATAAATCCTTATGTACTGGGAAGAAGCCTGTCATACTTCCTTTGTGAGGTTGCTAGTGGGTGATTATAGATCTTTTGCCATGATGAAACTGTGGATGATTTAGCAGCTCCAGACAGTAACATTTTCTAGTTTTCTTTCTGTGCTTGTATATAAATGATAGAGACTTTGTAATCGGGGGCTTGCATCAAAAAACAAAGAAAAAAGTCTTAAAGCCACAGCACCCAGCTTTTAGGTAACTGAACCCTTCCCTTCCCCCTCAAGCCCTGGGTCAGATTTTCTACATTACATTATAACACCTTACAGGCTTCCAGAGCTTGCTTGAGCATTCTGAACCAGAGACTGGCCAAGAGTGAATGTTAGTAGGAAATTCTAAGGACAGAAGTATGTTCATAATTTCCCTTCTCGTCAGGGCTTGAGCACATCAACAAGGACTACGTGCAAGTTCTGTTGTCCACTTGAGTGGAACCCTCTCTTAAGTGTACTTTACATTAAATAGTTATTGGATAAGGTACAAAATGGTCCTGGGGCGGAGTGCTCTAATAATTTCATCCTGTTGGTCTATTAAGCATGATCTGAGAATGCCTACCCTCTTAAATCCCCTGGGGACTAAGACAAAGAAGTTCCCAGTTGGGTTGTGGGCATGAACTATTCATTGTTATTCAGCCTTGCCGAGATGGGACAGTCCTGGACATGAAGGGCATTTACACACATGTGGGGAGCCTGCTCCAATGCACTGGAAATCCAGTGCATTGGAGCAGATTTGATTAATCGAGTCTGCTGGAGCACATAAATTGACACGCTCTGGGAGCCCTACATGTTAACGTGTATCAGTGGCGCAGTACGCCTCTTCGCTGAGGAAATGGCAGGGAAGCGCTTTTGCCCTACAAGGAGAGGCTAGAGAACCTGGACCTTTTCAGCCTCCACAAGAGAAGGTTGAGAGGCGACCTTGTGGCTGCCTATAAGTTCATCACAGGGGCACAGAAGGGAATTGGTGAGGTTTTATTCACCAAGGCGCCCCCGGGGGTTACAAGAAATAATGGCTATGAGCTAGCAGAGAGCAGGGATAGAAGAGACATTAGGAAGAAATTCTTCACAGTTCGAGTGGCCAAGGTCTGGAACAGGCTCCCAAGGGAGGTGGTGCTCTCCCCTACCCTGGGGGTCTTCAAGAGGAGGTTAGATAAGCATCTAGCTGGGGTCATCTAGACCCAGCACTCTTCCCTGCCTATGCAGGGGGTCGGACTCGATGATCTATTGAGGTCCCTTCCGACCCTAACATCTATGAATCTATGAAGTAAAACACATTTGATGTGCTTTAGTTCAAAGTGTACTGCTGCCATTTTCTCATTGTGGAGGTGCTCTTGTGTTGCTGATACACGACATGTGGGCACTTTTAATTAGTGCAGCTCGCTAATTTAAAGTGCCCGGCACCGCGTCAGGAACACATGTTAAAATGCCCTAGGAGACTCAAGTCTGAGTGCCTAGGGAACTTGAAGGTCAATGATTAGAAAGCCTATAGGATTTAGGTGCCTATAGGACTAAATAGCAGCTGCATAGAAAATTTTAGATCATCTCTTAGATATAGATACTGACATTGCACGTAAGTGCTGTTTTAGGTAAATAAGGCTTTTTCTGATTTGGCCTTGAGTCTTTTCTCACCATAGTGCAAACTGAAGTAACTCCATTGATGTCCATAAATCAGGTTTTCGGCTGCATCAATTCTGCATTCAGCAAAGTTGGGAGGGAAGTAAGCAAGGATTGTATGGGCATGTTCACACAAAGGAGGCTATAAAGTACATTTGAGGCTTGGGATCAGTTTGGCCTCGAGCAGTGGTTCTCAACCTAGGTGCCACAGCACCCTGGGGTACTGCAAGAGCCTTTCAGGGGTGCTGCAGTAGGTCACTATGGCCGCTGCAACCAGGTGGAACTGCTGCATTCCACGCCTTGTGTGGAGCCAGACTAGGAAGGGCTATGGAAAGAGGGTTTACTTATGCCTGGTTTAGGGCAGGGCAGGAGCATATATATGGTCCTGTCACAGTCCTTCCTAGTTGGCTCTGCATGAAGCACCTGGGGCAGTTCCACCTAGCCACAGAGGTGGCAGGTGCACCCCAGCTGAGACGGTGGTTCTCAAACAGGTTGGCCCCAAAATACAAAAAAAATTATGGAGGAGTAGTATGAATCTAAAAGGCTTTGAGGAACATTACTTTAGAGTAAATTTAGAGCAGTGTTAGCTATACCCCTTTCCCTTAGCCATGGTCCCTAACACTGTGGCCAGGGGAAAAAGGCAACTGTGTCATCTGAGTGGATAGACTTGTACCATCTTAGTTTTAGGAAACAATGATGGCAGCTTCCTGATTTCTCTGTGCTGCCAGAATTAGGGACAAAGGTCTGATCCCATGGATTTACACATCTGTGAAATGGTGAGAAAGGAGAGTAAGTCCTGATGTGTGACTTAAAAGGCATATGTCACATAGAATAATATTTTCATGTAAATAACCTAATTATTATTTCTCTCATGAATGTGTGACACAGCAGGGGTGCCTTGATTCTGTGTGTATTTATCAGGGTGTTCTTTTTTTCTTTTTTGGACAGAAGATTCCACAGTAAAAGTGTACATAATGCATTCAGGGAACAGCCTTTTACATATACAGGTAATGTATGTTCTTCATGCAATCATTTATTTTGAGGCACTGAAATTAGTAGAGCTACTAACTTGATGGCTTATTATTTTGTAAGTCAACTTTACTACTGGCAAAGTAATGCTTTTCTATTACCTTAAGAAGCATTTAACATATTCAGATTTGACTGAATGTCCAACAGAATTTGCAGATGGTAAGCTGTAACTTACAGGGTGATTTTTCATATACTGAAGGAACTGTTAATTTGATTAGAAGCTGCATGTCAGCTTAGCACATGTGATAAACTGTTTCCAAATTTGTCAGGAAGATGAACTAACTAAACACTAAAATTATCAAACTCTAGTAATTGTGTCCTAGTGTTACATGGACTACTGATGTATCATTTTAATGTAGGATGTACAGCATTTCTCCCCAAAAGATGCATCATACGTGCAGTTTGAGCCCGTACTGCTGCTTACTTCTGTCACAGATTTTACAGAAGTTGCTTCTGTTGTTTGTAAAGGTACAGTATATATTTTTTGCCTGTAACATGATTATCTGAGCTTTGATAATGCCACTCTTCCTATCCACTCTTATGCCTCCTTCATATGTACTCTTAGGCACTTAATACCAGTTTGTCTGTGCAAGTTTACTGTCTTATGAATTATGGAGTTAGAAGCAGAAGAATTCCTTGTGCTAATTTTATTTCCATTGTATTTCATATGCACATTTGCACTCTCTCATGTTTATGTATATCAGAGCATCTGAATTTAACCCAATGCTGGTCATATTAGGAGGAAGGGAAATAGGTTAACTGTTAAAATTGTTAGTTGCTTGGAAATTTGCTTTTTGGATGTCCTTTTCAGCAGCCTTTTATCACTTCCAGGTGATTTGATTTTAAATCTATAGTAAACTGTGCTTGAGTGGAAATTTTTTGTGATAGTTTTTTGGAAAAACGGTTTATGAGATTTGTCCAAGGCAACGGAGTACATTTATAGATGAGCTAGCATTAAAATCAGAGTTTTGGGTCCTGCTCGGACCACTAGATTTCATGGCAAATGTTTATCATTAGACTTTGTGATGTTTTTAGTATAGAGGTCAGCAACATTTTCCATTGAGGGAGGCAGAATGACTCAGATCAGGTCTGAGGTGAGCATGCAGTGAGTCCCACCCATCTCTGCCATTTCTTCCTGCTACTTGGCTGCAGCATAGTACAGGGAGAGTTCCCCCTCTGTTGAAGCCCAGGGGCCTGGACTGCAGTGTAAGAAGTTTCCTGCCACCAAATGCTGCTGAAATCATGGCTCTTCACAGACGATAGATTGCCAACCCCAGCTCTAATACATTACTACTAAAACGTTTAAGTCAGTGCTTAGCATCAGTGAAAATCAGGACATTAACATTTTAGTGCCATGATTTCTGCTTCTGTAAACTGGAGTTATCAGTACTCTTTTTCTTGTAATGGCTTGATATCATCATATGAAAAGTATTATAGGAATTAAGTATTATAATTACAGGTGGTTTACTTAGTTTTTATATCTGTTCTTTACACAGCTATGTCATGTGACAATGGAAGTCACTATGCTGGTGATGCGAACATGAGTCCATTGGAAGGCACAACACTAAAAGCATGCCTTTCCCATCCTGTAGTTGAAGGGTATGTTTACGGTGGAATTTGTTAAACATTCATAAACATTATAAAACTAAATTATGCTCAAATATATGCTATTTCAATACTAAAGGCAGGCTTAAGGTACTAAGTGCCCCTGTATAGGCTTCTGTATCTCCTCTGTATTATTCTCCCCAAAGAAGGCATGATATTTCAGATAGCTATGCACTGATAGAAATTTTTGGAGCCAATACCGATAGCTGATATTTAAGGATGCATATTGGCCAATACCAATCCAATTTTTGGTACCACTGCCTCCAGCTGGTAAGCCTGGCATAGTGGAAGGGGAGGGAGCAGGGAAGGAGTGTGGGGGTGGGGAGGGGGGCAGATCAACACCCCACACAGTGAGGGAGGGGGCAGGGGCAGGTGCTGCCTGGGTGAGGAGGGCCGGAGCCACAGCTTGGGTGGGGGGTGTGCAGCTCCCATTGCTGCTTACACCCTGGGAGGGCACCGGGGGTGGGGGTGCCCCCTAGATCTATGCAGGGCTCTTCTCTGCAAGGGCTGGGCTCAGAGTGGGTGCTGGTGGTGCTGGGAGGATGCTATATCCATCCCAAATTTCACCGCCACTCCGCTCTCAGTGCCACCACTGCCAGCCACCTGCTACAGCCCTGGCCCACCTCCACCCACGTGCTGGGAAGAGCCGGGGCTCAGCTGGGCAGCTGGCAGTGGCGGCGCCGGGAGCGGAGCAGCGGGGAAATTTGGGGTGGATATAGCATGATATCTTCCTAGCACTACTGGTGCCCATTCTGAGCCCAGCAGCCGCCAAGAAGAGCCCCACGCAGCCCTGGCTGCAGCCCGCTCCACCCCATGCAGATCTGCGGGGCACATGCTCCCCACATTGCCCTCCCGGAGTGTAAGCAGCAGTAGGACCTGCCTCCCTGTCCCCTCCTCCCGAGCTATGGCTCTGCCCCACCCCATCCACCCTACCTGGGCAGCGCCTGCCCCCTCCCTCACTGTGGGGGGCATTGATCTGCCCCCCACCACACCCCTTCCCTCCCCACTCCCCTTCTACCACACCAGACTTACCAGTTGGAGGCAGCTCTACTCCTCACTGCCTGCATGCAGCACTGCAGCTGTGTGCAGCATGAGCATTTATTGGCCCCATAGGGCTGATATCCAATACAGCCAGTTTTCCTTATATTGGTACCGATCTGATATCGGTGCACCTCTAATTTCAGATAAGAGTGCTGTATTTAATATGGGCATTCATTCAGTGTTCAGTAAGAAGAGCCCTAAAGTGGTTAAGATTACATAGGTCACTCAGAATTGGAGTAACATTTTCTTGAGTAAAGTTCTTGTTCTTCCATGATAGGAAGATTTTTTTTTGTTACAGAAAACTGGACACTTTTTCTAGTTTTGACCCAATAAAGTCTATTCAGGACTTGCACGTAACGTAGTGAATGCACTGGGGCAAGTTGTATTCTGAAGCAGTTAGAGAAAAGTGTGAATTTCTAGCCAGGTGTTTTCCAGTTGCACTTGAATTTTTTCTGATATTAACTTTTAAGTATTTTTAATAAAATAAATTGTTCTTCTTCCAGAAGACTTAAAAATGCTCACCCCCTATAACAGCAGTATCTCTTGTTCTTGCTTGTATCAACTGCTTTGTTTAAAGGCCATTTTGTATGTCTGTTTTAATCTGTTTACCTACAGGTATTTTGACCTTGATCCTTCTGCAGCATTATTTCACATAGAGCCACATCATAATACTTCAGGAGTTTGGTCAATATGGTTTACAAACAATTTTGACTTCAGCATTGAAGTAAATGATGTCTTTGTAGCCAGAGAAACTAAGAACATTTTAAAGGTAGGTT